GGCTCGGCCTCAGCACGGGCGACGGCAGCCACCCGCACGCCCCTGCCCGCTAACCCGCTAAGGCCCCCCGGGGCCTATGACAAGGGGGCCCCACCCCCAGAACGATTAAAAAAAAGGGATTAAAAAAATATATTAATAAATAAATAATAAAATAAATAAAAACAATAAATATAATTAATAAAATTAAAAATGATTTAATAAAATTATTAATTAATTAATTAATTAATTAATTAATTAAGTAATTAATTAAGTTAATTAATCTGATTTAATTAATGTAATTAACTAGTTAAGTTTAATTAAACTGTAATTAGATTAACCTAAACCCTAATTAACCTAATTAGAGGATGACAGGTGGGTCCTCCCACTGGACCCACATGTCAGGGTTGACTCAGTCAACCCCTGTTGACTGCTGACGTCAGCATGACATCATGCTGACGTCATAAATACATTTTTTCGAATTAATTAAATAAATAATTAGATTCCAAAATTGTTAAAATCTTTTAAAAATCATATCTTTTAATCCGTAACTCGGATTAAAATATTTTCAACATGAAAGTTGCTCAGAACGACGAGACGAATCCGGATACGCAGCCCGTTCGTCCGCCACACACCCCTAGCATACCGAACACGCAACTTTCCCCCTCCGGTTCACCGGTCCGAAAACGCGAAACACCGGGAATACTTTTCCGGATGTTTTCCCCCTTCGTCGGTATCACCTACTACCGCGATTGGGCACACCTAGCATTGTTACTTGTCATGTCATGCATCGATATGCATTTGTTTGCATTATATTCATTGTTTCTTCCCCCTCTTCTCTCTGGTAGACTACGAGACCAACGCTGCTGCTGCCCAGTTCGACTACGGAGTTGACGACCCCTCTCTCTTGCCAGAGCAACCAGGCAAGCCCCCCCCTTGATCACCAGATATCGCCTATTCTTATCTATACTGCTTGCATTAGAGTAGTGTAGCATGTTACTGTTTTCCGTTGATCCTATTCTGATGCATAGCCTGACATTGTTGCTACACCTGTTGATACCTTACCTGCAATCCTAAATGCTTAGTATAGGATGCTAGTTCTTCATCATTGGCCCTACATTCTTGTCAGTCTGCCTTGCTATACTATTGGGCCATGATCACTCGGGAGGTGATCACGGGTATATACTATACATACATACGTACTATACAGATGGTGACTAAAGTCGGGTCAGCTCGAAGAGTACCCGCGAGTGATTCACGGATTGGGGGCTGAAAGGACCTTTGTCCCGACGACCCTCTGTGTGGATCTTTGTGGCGGAGCGACAGGGCAGGTTGAGACCGCCTAGGAGAGAGGTGGGCCTGGCCCTGGTCGGCGTCTGCGGTTGCTTCATAATAACACGCTTAACGAGATCTTGGTATTTGATCTGAGTCTGGCTACGAGCCTATACGCACTAACCATCTACGTGGGAGTAGTTATGGGTATCCCGACGTCGTGGTATCAGCCGAAGCACTTCAGACGTCAGCGACGGAGCGGCGCGCGCCGAATTGGACTGGAACGCCACTAGGCTAGGTCTGCTTTCGGCCGCGTACGCAACGTGCAGGTGTGCTATGGGCGATGGGCCCAGACCCCTGTGCGCTTAGGTTTAGACCGGCGTGCTGGCCTCTCTGTTTTGCCTAGGTGGGGCTGCGACGTGTTGATCTTCCGCGGCCGGGCATGACCCAGAAAAGTGTGTCCGGCCAAATGGGATCAAGCGTGTTGGGCTATGTGGTGCACCCCTGCAGGGAAGTTAAATCTATTCGAATAGCCGTGATCTTCGGTAACAGGACGACTTGGAGTTGTACCTTGACCTTATGACAACTAGAACCGGATACTTAATAAAACACACCCTTCCAAGTGCCAGATACAACCGGTGGTCGCTCTACCTCAGGGATATGAGGAGGGGATCGCCGGGTAGGATTATGCTATGAGATGCTATTTGGAGATGCTACTTGGAGGACTTCAATCTACCCTCTTCTACTTGATGCAAGACGGTGGCTGCGAGAAGCGTAGTCTTCGACAGGATTAGCTATCCCCCTCTTATTCTGGCATTCTGCAGTTCAGTCCACTGATATGGCCTCCTTACACATATACCCATGCATATGTAGTGTAGTTCCTTGCTTGCGAGTACTTTGGATGAGTACTCACGGTTGCTTTCTCCCCCTTTTTTTCCCCTTTCCTTCTTTCTGGTTGTCGCAACCAGATGCTGGAGTCCAGGAGCCAGACGCCACCGTCGACGACGACCCCTACTACACCGGAGGTGCCTACTACTACGTGCTGCCCGCTGATGACGACCTGGAGTAGTTTAGGAGGATCCCAGGCAGGAGGCCTGCGCCTCTTTCGATCTGTATCCCAGTTTGTGCTAGCCTTCTTAAGGCAAACTTGTTTAACTTATGTCTGTACTCAGATATTGTTGCTTCCGCTGACTCGTCTATGATCGAGCACTTGTATTCGAGCCCTCGAGGCCCCTGGCTTGTATTATGATGCTTGTATGACTTATTTTATTTGTAGAGTTGTGTTGTGATATCTTCCCGTGAGTCCCTGATCTTGATCGTACACATTTGTGTGCATGATTAGTGTACGATTGAATCGGGGGCGTCACAGGCATGGACGAGATAAAAAAGGACCCTGATAAATGTCACACGTGTGGGCTAAAGGAGGATGGACCAGACGCCCTTCTAGCCACCTATTGTGACAGGTCAGCCTTTTTTCCACACATGCATGTAAACAGGAAAGTAAACGGATGCCGTCAGTGGAAATATTTTAGGTTTTCAAACTTTAAAATGTTTTATCTCTTAAATGACAAATCCGATTGAAAACCCGTTTTGACCATTAATTCCGTCAGGACGAGAACTTCAAAACTAGATCACATATCGATATGTTTCGATGATATTTTTTGGCGGTCAAAAAATTGCCATGTCTATTGCACATAAATTGGCATGTTGTTTACACTAAAATTGTCATGATATGTTTCAACTACTTTTTCTTCTATGTTTAAGGTATTTTTTGACATATTATAAACAAAGAATTTAAGGAACTAAACTTGCCACGGTGAATTACTAAAAGTTTGCATGATCCATGAAATAATTTTGACATGGTTCATAATTAAAAGAAATCCATTGTCAATTACTTTAAAAATGCATGGTCAATTACTCAAATTTGCCATGAACAAGAAACTAAAATTGCCATGGTGAATTACTTAAATTTTCCATGATACATGCACAAAAAATTGCCATGGTTCATACAAAAAATAATTTCCACGGTCAAAATACTAGAATTGCCATGGTCAAAATACTAAAATTGCCATGATCTATAAACTAAAATTGCCACCATGAATTATAAAAAATTACCATGATCCATGCATTAAGTTTGCCGTGGTTAGTTTTCAAAAATTGCCATGGTCAATTAAAAAAATTGTCGTGAAAAGTAGTTGAAATACATTGCTAGTTCAAATCTAGAAGAAAAAAGTAGATGAAACATATCAATATGGGATCTAGTTTTGAAGTTCAGTGTCAACTTTAGTGTAATTACTATGTCAACTTCAGTGTCACATCATGGCAACTTTTGGCCAAAAAAGTCATCGAAACATATCAATATGGGATCTAGTTTTGAAGATCTCGTCGAGACGGATTTAATGATGAAAACGGAATTTTAATCGAAATTTTTATTTAAGAGATAAAGTATTTTTAAGTTCGGAAAAACTAAAAAGATTCTGCTGATGTCATCTGTTTGATGTGGCAAAATAGATGATAATAATGGCATTTGGACCATGTTACTTCATGTCACACGCGTGGCACTTATCATTTGGGTAAAAAAAAGGCTAGGCCTGCCCCATATGTAAAGAACAAAATCCAGAGTAATGACGATGCTACATCTAAAATAAGAGCCTTATAAATCGGGATGAATCAATTACTAGCTAGATTTAGGAGTCTCGCAGCAACGCGGTCGAGGACGACTCTGACGAAAGAGTGGTGTTGCCGGTATTGACCAAATAAGAGCGAACACAACCGGAGCCCGAGCTGTCAACGGAGAAAGACCTGTACGACACAAGATCCTGTGCAGCCCTGTACATGTGCCTCAGGAGCGCCGGTAGCCTCGCCTCGTAGGACTGCAGGACGTGCATGGCCTGTGCCACGGATGGCCGCTCGCTCCGGTCTGGGTGCGCGCACCAGAGCCCGACGACGAGTACCCGCTGCATCCACCGCTCGCCGCCACGCCGCCCTTCAACCGCTCGTCGGCCGCGTCAAGGATCGCATCCCTGCCGTACAGGTTCCACACCCAGCTGAGCAGCGTGAAGGATCTCTCAGAGGTCTCGATCACCGGTCGTCGGCCAGAGGCGATCTCCAAGAGGACGACACCGAAGCTGTACACGTCTGATTCGGTGCACGGCCGGCGTGTGTTGACGAGCTCAGGGTCGATGTAGCCGACGGTGCCGAGCACGGCCTTGGTGGTATGCCCTGACCCAGCGCCGTGGTCGATAAGCCTGGCCAACCCGAAGTCCCCGAGCTTGGTGCTGAGCGACGAGTCGAGCATGATGTTGCTGGGCTTAATGTCACCGTGGACAATGCACTGCTCCCACTCTCCGTGAAGGTAGTGCAGCGCGGATCCCAAGCCAAGGATGATGTTGTACCTCTGTGGCCATGTCAGATAGCTGCCGTCGTTGCTGTAGAGGTGCCTATCTAGGCTGCCCTCCGTGACAAGCTCGTAGACAAGCAGGAGCCCCTTGCGACTGTCGCACCAGCCCAGCAGCTTCACAAGGTTGCGATGCTTCAGTCTGCTGATGATCCTCACCTCTGCCTCGAACTCCTTTCTCCCTTGGGACGACGAGTCTGCAGACAGCACCTTCACCGCCACCGCACGACAGTCTTGGTCACCACCGACTGCACCTGCGAGTGTGACTGTGAGATGACCCCGGTAAACGCTCCCGAAACCGCCTCGCCCAAGCTTCTCGTCCTCTGCGAAATTGCTCGTTGCGGTCACAAGCTCGTGGTGCATATACCGTCTCGGTCCGACGGCCGCCACACCTCTCTCGAGATCAGCTCTGTCGTCACAGTCTTCTTCGCTGTCATCATTTGCTCTTCTTTTCTTGTGTTGCCGCCATCCCAGCACCGCTGCCGCACAGACCAACAGAAAAAGCAGAGTAACTAAGATGGCTGGTAGGATTGGTACCAATTTTTTGTGGTTGTTACTGCTGGCTGGAATTGGAAGAGGAGGTTCGGCAGGTGGAGCTGCTTCCTTCTTTGATTCAAGCGTGGAATTGAAGGACCATGACAGTATCCGATGCAGCTCGGCGACGTCGCCTGTAGCCGCGGAGAAGCCCACGGCGACCTCCTCCGGTAAGTATCTGCTGAGATCGACGGTAGCGTTTACATGGTACAGGGCATCGTCGATGAGGAGATCAACACCCAGCCTCTTGGAGTCATTCTGGTACTTCACCGTGGCTTTCATAATAACACTGAGCGATGTGAGGTTCTTTCCCGGCCAGGTGGTCGTGTCCGTGAACGCCGTTGAGTTGAGGGAGTTGACGTTGATGCCGATATGGTTCCTGTTGATATCGGCATATTGCTCGTTGCGGAAAGTGTCGAATTCGACGGCGACGATCCGGCTGTCGCCTGTCCCGTTAGTCAAGTACGGGAGGAGGCCGAGGCTGCCGCCCGTGCTGTTTAGCGGGAGCACCGAAGGGAAATGGCCGAGGAAGAAGGCCATCCCATCGCCTGTATCCGGCAGGCTGTCCTTGTCGGGAGTAATAAGGAAGGAGAAGGTGGTGGTGAAGCTAGCCATCTCGCCGGTGGCTTTGCTCCATAGCGGCACCTTGTGCGTGTAGGACGCCCGGCCGACGCTGTCCTGAATCTTTGTATTGCGTTCACTTTTTGTCAGCTCCAGCCGTGACGAACTGATGGATGCATCGCCGGCGAGGTCCATGGATGAACCGGCGCTGGGGTCGGAGAAGTTGAGGTTGAAGGACAGCGAGAGTACCCAGCGCGGCGCATAGAAGAGGCATAGCAGCAACACCAGGAAGACTAGGGTGGTAGGAGGACGACGGCGAGAGCCCATCGTTGTGTTTGGTGTTTGGTGTCTGGTGGTATTTGGGAAGGGGGAAGCGTGAGCACCATAAAATAGGGCCGGGGAGAGATCTGTAAGCTCGTCGACATTTCGCACCAGCAGAAGTCTAAGGCCCGCTTGGAAGAATGGGAGCCGCATGAGTTTTCCCAACCGTAACTGATCAGAGCCTTGTCTAAAAAAACATGATTAGAGCCCTAATATACCCGGCGCAGAGGACACCGGCGGAAAGAAAGTCGATGGTTATCACGACAAGTGGCTTCTCTAAACTGAAAATAGGCAGTGGCTACAAGCGGCTACTTTTCAAATAAGCAAGTGAGGAATTTTTTAACAAAATACAGAGTCAAAATTTGAAGTAAGCATAGAAGTTTGAGGGATGTTCTAGATAGCACTTTCACTCAAAAGTCTAAATGCAAAGTTCTCCACAGAAATAACTTTTAAAAGATCTTCTAGAGTTGCTCTAACCGCAAGAAACCAGCCAGAATATTCAGAGTAGAATGATCAATCAAGCGCGTCATTTAGGAAACGACCCTTCTTATCCTGGACCCGAAATTTACGCCGGACTGGGTCCGGAAACGCCGAACCAAGCGAGGCTAAGTGTAGAAATATTGCGAGTCGTTGGGCCAGGAATGGTCAAATTAGTTTGGATCTATATAAAGAGGAGCTGCTCAGTTGTGATCATTCGTGGACCTCTGCTTGCTCCCCATGCGGTACGGGTCAAAAGGAACTGGCCCACGCAGGTAATAGTTATTATTTCTTCAAAAAATGATAAAAGGCCATAGTATTAGTATGTTAACCAGCGGAATGGCCCACACATTTGCGCGGCTAGACATGGTGTATAAATTTATCTGTTTGTGATTTTTTTTCTATCATGTTCTTTCATTTTATTTTTCAGTATTTATATGAAAATTATAACCATTTTAAAAAAGCTTGGAATACATGAAATCATGATTATACTTTGGTCCAAATATTTCCATCATATATGTAAACTTTGGTTTTTGAGGGACCATATGTGTAAACTTATTTGTCAAGACTTGGAAGACCAGGAGAATCAGCGTATGTGTCTCGCCATGCAAAATACTTTCAGAATATTGTTCCCTCTTTACTGTTTACCTACTATTTTTTTTGAATCACTGATAAAATATAAAATTTGATTACTTGTACTCGTATCTTGTTATCTGTTTCATGATCTACCTCGACATTGGCCATATATTGTGCTTGTGGTTTTACTGACCTATATATGCTTTCACATCTTCTCTTGTTAATGCATTTTTCTATACCTGTCTAAACCATTATGATCGGTGGTCGGTGTGGAAAATGCTATAAACTCTTCTCTTACTGCCACTCTTTAGACCATGTTACTTTTGATGATGCTTATTTCTTGTTCATTTAATTTGAAATTTGAAGTAAAGTAAAAATATTAATTACATACTCGGCATGAGTTCGTCCTTCCTTGTTTGCTAGAAATATTCACTATCATTCACTAATGCCTTATTTTAGTATATATTTTATTTTGTCCATCAGTATCCACCTTGGTGGCCTAATGTTATTTTTTCCCTTCACATTAGCATTGATGCATCATTCAAACTATATGAAAATAAAACAGCCATAATTCGCACCTCAAGGAAACAAATTAGACTTTGGTCGGCAATCTATGTTTAATTGTATTATTGTTGGCAAACACATCCATATATTTTGCTACGTCAACAAAATATTACCCCAACTGCAATGCTCCCACTGATATATCATTTACAATAAAAAATAGTATTGTTTGGAATATGCACCCTAATGAAATATGATCAAAATTTGGCAGAAATCTATATTGTTTTTGAAGACATCGCCAAGTGACTTCATGTGACTAATGACATTGCGGTTAGCATTCTAACACACAAAATTATCTCATCAGTATAAAATGCTTTATTTTTGTCCTCTTCCGCTATCTGTATAGCCACTATTTGTGTTGCAATTTCCGTTTCATGGTAGTACAATATAATTCCTATCTATCTTCCATGCCTAGGCTTTTGACAATTTCCTCTTGCTCTAATTGGTTGTGTCGACTCACCATGGTGTAGCCCGACCATTTAAGGCTAAGTAATTATTGTCGTATATTCATAAGAAATTGATAATAAAATTTTTCCTTCTTGCCGAGTCTAGACATAGGTTATTTTTTGTGTCAACTTTGGTCTTCATCAACTTATATGATAATCAGAACAAAATAAAAATCAAATCACAGATTTGTTTTCATGCTTACTGCTTAGACATAATGGAAAAAATTTATATCCATAATGACGTCCATAGCTGGACCTTATATAATAATAGCTGACAATTTATTAATTATTATTTTGAAGTTCCTATATAAATGGTGGTGTATTTTAGTCATCGACCCAAGAACTTGCATGGGCTAGATGAGTTTCTTTTTAAAATTCATAAATTTTTATTAATTGTAATTTACAGTCACATAATAAAAAAGATAGCATGGAGTGGTGTAGGTCCTATTTTATATCAGGTCTAATGAAAAGAATTAGTCAATTTTTACATCATAATTTATATCATTAGCTGCAACCTATTCTCATTTCAGACCAAAACATTGATGACACCCTACCCCAACGAGCACCTCCGAGAGACTGAGCCGGCATATCATTTTGAGGTTGACGAAGTCACCACAAGGCGCCTCATAATCGATAGAAACGTCTCCTCCCACTGAACGTGCATCGCCAGAAATCCTGAAATAAATCCAGGAATAAATGCAAGCACCAGGACTTGAACCGTGGTGGGCTGAGGATATCACTGTTGAAAGGACATGCGGTGCCCCCATGTGTGGTTTTGGTAATTGATGACATTCTCTATGGACTAATGGTTGCATTGAGTTATATTTGAAGGATTTTTCCATAGGCATTTCTTGAAGTCCATGTGTTGGTTTCAAGGAGTTTATGGGTTGACCAAGGTGCTATTAAGGAATATCCAAAGATTGGTCATGTGAGTGTTGAGCTTATTGTAAGCATGTCTTGAAAAAGAAGATTGTGTGATCATTCATGTTTACCTTCATGACATCATCCAAACGAAGAGAGTTGGAAATACTAAAGGTTGATCAAGACTATGTCAAGAGTGAATCAAGTTGATCAACTCACAAAGCGTAAAAGTTGTACCGAGAGGGATCAAGTGTGTTGGGGAACGTTGCAGAAAATTAAAATTTTTCCTACGGTTTCACCAAGATCCATCTATGAGTTCATCTAAGCAACGAGTCTAGGGAGAGAGTTTGCATCTACATACCACTTGTAGATCGCGTGCGGAAGCTTGCAAGGTGATGATGTAGTCGTACTCGACGTGATCCAAATCACCGATGACCAGCGCCGAACGGACGGCACCTCCGCGTTCAACACACGTACGGGACGGGAGACGTCTCCTCCTTCTTGATCCAGCAAGGGGGAAGGAGAGGTTGATGAAGATCCAGCAGCACGACGGCGTGGTGGTGGATGCAGGGCGTCACAGCAGCAGGGCTTCGCCGAGACTACGAGGGAGAGACGTAACGGGGGGAGGTGGAGGCGCCAGGGGCCGGTGTATCAAGTCCCTCCTCTCCCCCACTATATATAGGGGTGCCAGGGGGGCGCCGGCCCTAGTAGATGAGATCTACTAGGGGGGGGGGGCGGCGGCCTAGGGGAGGTTTCCCTCCCCCCCAAGGCACCTAGGGGTGCCTTCCACCACTAGGACTCCTCCTAGGGGGAAACCCTAGGCGCATGGGCCTATAGGGGCTGGTGCCCTTGGCCCATGATGGCCAAGGCGCACCCCCTACAGCCCATGTGGCCCCCCGGGACAGGTGGCCCCACCCGGTGGACCCCCGGGACCGTTCCGGTGGTCCCGGTACAATATCGATAACCCCGAAACTTGTCCCGATGCCCGAAATAGCACTTCCTATATATAATTCTTTACCTCCGGACCATTCCGGAACTCCTCGTGACGTCCGGGATCTCATCCGGGACTCCGAACAACATTCGGGTTTCTGCATATCCATATCTTCATAACCCTAGCGTCACCGAACCTTAAGTGTGTAGACCCTACGGGTTCGGGAGACATGCAGACATGACCGAGACGCTCTCAGTCAATAACCATCAGCGGGATCTGGATACCCATGATGGCTCCCACATGCTCCTCGATGTTGTCATCGGATGAACCACGATGTCGAGGATTCGATCAAACCCTGTATGCAATTCCCTTTGTCAATCGGTACGTTACTTGCCCGAGACTCGATCGTCGGTATCCCAATACCTTGTTCAGTCTCGTTACCGGCAAGTCACTTTACTCGTACCATAATGCATGATCCCGTGTCCAACACCTTGGTCACATTGAGCTCAATATGATGATGCATTACCGAGTGGGCCCAGAGATACCTCTCCGTCATACGGAGTGACAAATCCCAGTCTCGATCCGTGTCAACCCAACAGCTACTTTCGGAGATACCTGTAATGCACTTTTATAGTCACCCAGTTACGTTGTGATGTTTGATACACCCAAGGCACTCTTACGGTATCCGGGAGTTACACGATCTCATGGTCGAAGGAAGAGATACTTGACACTTGCAAAGCTCTAGCAAAACGAACTACACGATCTTTTATGCTATGCTTAGGATTGGGTCTTGTCCATCACATCATTCTCCTAATGATGTGATCCCGTTATCAACGACATCCAATGTCCATAGTCAGGAAACCATGACTATCTGTTGATCACAACGAGCTGGTCAACTAGAGGCTTACCAGGGACATAGTGTGGTCTAAGTATTCACACGTGTATTACGATTTCCGGATAATACAGTTATAGCATGAATAAAAGACAATTATCATGAACAATGAAATATAATAATACTTTTATTATTGCCTCTAGGGCATATTTCCAACAGTGTCCCACTTGCACTAGAGTCACCAATCTAGTTACATTGTGATGAATCGAACACCCATAGAGTTCTGGTGTTGATCATGTTTTGCACGCGAGAGAGGTTTAGT